ATCTTCCTTAATGACATGTCTATTCAAAGAGTTTATCCAGCTTTTAATTGGATTGTTTTCTTACTCTTGACTTTTTGGAAGTTCTTTATTATTGGTTTAAGCCACTGAAGTTGGATTTTCTGCTATTTTCAGCCAAGAGAATTCCTGATTGCTATATTATTTGAGTAAATATTGAATGGAACTCTGCTATCTTTAGAGTCTGTTTTTTTTTCCTTAAACTACATTTTAGTCTCTCCTTTTTCAGTGTCTAAACCCTGATATTAATAAATTTGCACTTGACTGTCAGTAGGAAAATTAAACCCATCTTACCCAAGTGGAAAGTACTTAGAAATGCTGTAGCTGAAATTGTCCAGACATTTGGAGACCCAACTGATTCTGGAAACTGTAAGCCCCACTGTCCCTGATTGAAGCTCATGCATCCATTTTCTGTTTTCCCTTTAAGAATTCTCTTCAGGTCATCTGGTAAAATATTTTAGCTTCCTATAACAACTTCCTTCAAAGTTTTACAAATGTTTGCACAATTGTCTTTGAAAAGTAAGATAGATAGGGATACATTTTGTCCCCAGAAAATGATGAGCTCAGTAACTTTCATAAGGCAACATAGCTAATGGAAATAGAACTAATATCTCCCAGTTTTGACTTGACTCTAACTCGACCATGTCAGCCAGTGTTTAAAAACCAACGGATCATAATCTGTGGTGCCTTATAGAAGAAAAGACTAACAATAATATTTGGCTTCTTTTCCTTGACTCGCAGTACATTATAATCATAAAAGAATTAAAAATGCTATTTCACTTTCATTTGGATTGATGAATTTGTTAGTTTCCAAATCGTTTGATACATTTGCAGCCACCACGTGTATAATGGTAGGGATCATATTCAACCTAGATGGATTTATTCAAAACATAAACAAATATTGGTGACATCTCCAAGTTTTTGTTTCCCCAGTGCTGCCAAAATAATAGTAGTCTGATGCTGTCTCAATAAGAAAGCCTCGTGTGGTTGAAAGAGGGAAGATTTGGGAGGCAATTACATCTGAATCTCTACATCAAATCTGTCATTACCTGTGAGGTCACAGGCATGCTACTACCGGCTCTGTGGCCGGTTCCTTGTGTGTAGAGTGCCTGAGCCCTAAGTTGTGCGCATCGAATGAACTTACAGATGTAAAATGCTTAGGATTACACTTAGCCTTGAACAAGTCTTCATCAAATGCTCACCAGAATCATGACTATTTACTCCAAAAGATATTTGTTGAACAAGACCCTTTTTTTTTTTTTTATCTTTTACAAGATCCTTTACCCAGTGCTACACAAGTGTCTTTTTATGGCCAACTATTGATTATGTATAAAAAGAAATGATAGAGCATGATTTCTTAGTTCTGGGTTTTTCTATCTCAAGACTATTGACATTTTGGCAGACGGTTCTTTGTTCTGGAGAGCTAGTCTGAGCCTGGTGGGCTATTTAGCAGCATCTCGGTCTTCTAATAATAGATGCCAATAACACCATCCCCCTCCGCATTGGTGACAACCCAAAATGTCTCCAGACATTGCCAAATAATGTCTCCTACTATGCAAAAACAACCCCAGCTGAGAACTACAGTCTCCCATCGATTCTCTGTAAAATGTGTTCATGGACTACCAATCCCAGGAGATGCTTCCCAAAAGATCCCAGTGTCAAATAAGTTGGGAAACATTGAATATTAATCATCATCATCATCATAGCTCATTTTTTAAATAAACTTATTATGTGCTGCAAACTGCTCTGACCTCATTTAATCCTCTTAACAGACCTAGAAGTTAGTTACAACTCTAAGGTTTATGTTGCAAATGAGAAAATTGAACCCCAGTGAAATCAAGTAGCTGACCCGGAACGTACAATGAATATGTGGCATCTGCAGGACCTGTGGATTATCCACCCATAAAGCTGCCTCTTGCACACTCCACTTTTTAATTCACAATTCAAACTGGAATATTAAAGATAATTATTCCTCAATTTTTATTGACTTCATTTTAGAAACTCACAAAATTGCTTTCTGCTTTCATCCGTTGATGACAACCTTCTCATTATTTGCTAATGATTGTCCTCATAAACATAGTTGGATGCAAGCAAAGATAGAACTTTCCCTGGAAAAGATCACAAAAATGACTCCAGACAAATTCAAATGGTTTAAAACTAAGGAGGGAGAGATTTCTCTGCTTGGATGAAGCCAGGAACAAGAAATGGATAAAAATGATAATTGGGTCTTTTAGCATCGCGTTAAACAGGTATAAACAAGGGGCTGGCAGGTGAAAGGGCATTCCAAACAGAGCAAACTGTATAGGCAAAGATGTAGGCAGCTGGAAAGGTGTGATATATTTGAGGAACAGTGAGGGTGGAGGAGAACAAGTAGGGAAATGAAATTATGAGAAAAGGGTGGGTTCTGCGTTATTGTCGTTGGTTTAACTCCTGGAGGCATCTGACTTTGCAATCCTTTAAGAGTTGAAGACAGCTAAAAGCACAATAGTGACATGGTCAGGTAACTAAAGTTAATAGTGTTTGGTGGTGGGAGACCCAATGAAGACACTAATCAGAGCTTTGAGCAAGAGATAATGAGTTACGATAGAACGAAGGAGGGGCACCTGGGTGGCTCAGTTGGTTAAGCATCTGCCTTTGGTTCAGGTCTTGATCCTGGAGTTTCAAGATTAAGCCCCACATAGGGCTCTCTGCTCAGTGGGGAGACTGCTTCTCACTCTGCCTCTCATCCCACTTGGGTTCGCTCTCTTTCATGCTCTCTCCCTCTTCCAAATAAATAAAAATCTTTTAGAAAAAAGGTAGAATGAAGGGATCAGATTTAAGAGAGATTATTAACAAGAAAAGCAGAGTAAGGAGAATTTTGCTCTTAAATGGTCTGTAAGATCAAATAAGTAGAATTAATTTGTGGAAGAGAGATTTCTCCAAAACGAAGCCATGCACTTTCAAGGAAATAACATGGAAACATGTTAAGCAGTTGGTAACCCGGAGAATTTGCATTAACAAGACTTAGGCTGCACAAATGCTTTCCTGGAAAACTATTCCCTTCCCATTCAGACTTCTCACTACTTCTTAGTGAAGTATAGGGCCAAGTAGTAGATTCTGAATGGTGCCCCTACCTTTCTAGTCCAGGCCACCTGGTCTTTTTCCTTCTAAACATGCCCCTTGGGAAAGATGCGTCAGCATTAATGGAGACTCAACCAAGTGTATTTTGAGAAATGACAAGCCAGCTAAGAAATGTTGGGAAGAGATCCATCTGAGACACTCAGCGAACGATTGTTGAATGGATGCGTGAATCACATTCTGAGTTCACTTTACTAACTTTTTACTTAAGTGTGGAAAATAATTTTCTACTTCATCTTTTACTGAAGTAGCTAATGGGTCACTCTCAAAAAAGTACCCCAGCAAAATTCCAAATGGACTTTTACCTCTACACATCATATAATTGATTTTTTACAACTTTATTATTTAAATCTTTAAAATGGGCAGAGAGTCTAACATATTTAACCTTACTGGTTTCTTTTCCTAAATGTCATCTTCAAACTATGTTTTAAGGGTCCTTCTCTATACTTAAGCTTATTTATGATGAAGCACTGTATTTTAGCACTGAAATACAGGTTTTATAACCCTATCCCTGACAATTTAGAAGGAAAACATTTTTTTTCTACTACATTCTAACAATTTTCATAGTTGTGCCTAACATTGTAATTGATAATAATACCTGCTATTTAAGGAGTGGTCTTTAGGTGCCAGAGTATTATTTCTTGAAAGTATTATTTCAAGAAAAAACTATACTAAATAAATATTCTTTACCCATTTCTCAGATGGGCAAAAAGAAGGTCAAACTGTTGAAGTGGTTCAACCAGGACCTTATAGTTCCCCAGTTAGAATGCAAGGCTTAATCTTTGGTCCATTAGTCGGCAAAAACTATGTGCTTAGTATAATATCATTCTGAGTCCAGATTCTTTTTATTTCATTTAAATGTTAATATGAGCCCATAGCTGATATGTTCCTCTCTGCAACTAGTCCTAAGAATCTCTCTCTTTACTTGTCCCTGCCCCCGAATACCATTTATCTTTATATTTATGTGTTATGAATATGTGTCATGAATGGTAACATACCTTCCAACATGCAAGGAAAAGATATTGTTAGCCCAGCTTTGTGGAATATTAATTTATGAAACTATTTAAGATTTGATTTATTTATTTTAGAGAGATAGTGTGGGAGCGGGAGTGGAGGAGGGGGAAGAGCAAAGGGAAAGGGACAAGCAGACTCTGTGCTGAGCTCTATCTTTGTCTCACTACCCTGAGATCATGACCTGAGCAGAAAACAAGAGCCCCACGCTCAACTGACTGAGCCACCGCAGCGCCCTGAAAATTATTTTTAAAGTGTTACTTTAAAAATAAATTTTAAAAAATTTTAAAAAACACTTTAAATATTTTTAAAATGTTACTTTATTAGGGTCCCTAAGCAGGGAAGCCTGCTTCTCCCTTTCCCACTCCCCCTGTGTGTGTTCCCTCTCTCACTGTCTCGCTCTCTCTCTCTCTGTCAAATAAATAAATGAAATCTTAAAAAAAAAAAAGAAAATTAAAGTGTTCCTTAGATTCAGGATATATATATATATATATATAATTTTATCACATATTTGAGACAGCAGTTTAAATGGTAAAAATTCTTACTGACAAAGTAGTTTTTATAAAACCAAATATAAAAGTTTTTATATTTGATGAACGCAGATAGCCAATAATAAAAATGTTCGTCTTCTCTGTTGCAACCCTCCCCCACCAAAAAAAAAAAAAAAAAAGAAAAAAAAAGGAAGGAAGGAAGGACTTTTGGTCCCAATCACCAGGATAACTGACCCAGATCTATTTTGCATTGTGACATAGAACTTGTGTTTTACAATGAAAATTTGTCATCCTATTGCAATGAAAGAATTGATGTTCGTAATGTTCTTACCCATTCTTTTTTTTTTTTTTATGTGAACATTTTAGGTGTATCAATACATGCATGAAACGATCACTGTTAATGGCTGTCCTGAATTCCGTGCCAGGGCCACAGCAAAGGTAAGGCTTGAGTAACTTTGAAAGTATACTTGACCCCAGTGATCTAGTAATTGATTGTGCGCGTGTGTGTTTCAGGTGTTCTCGTGTGTACACTGTAAGAGAATTTAGACATCAGTGGCAGCCCAGAGTCTAGAACCAGTACTACTTCCCAGGTAAAAATCCTAATGGAAAAATTGAACGTTTCTGCTGCTTCTGTAGCTTAAGAAAGGAGAATGATTTCATTAAACTCACTAAATGTCCATTTGGCACAAGCAAATCTACTGGTTCATTGTATGAGATCATATGTGGTTTTCTGACACATGTCTCTGATCCAAAAGAACTTGTTCCCTATTCAGTGCATGAAGATTTATTTGCACAAGTCGAAAGATTTGACTTGAGGCAGACTTGAAGGGAACCCCCCTGAGACCGACTGACCTAGGATTCTTCCTTATCTTCAGCGGGAGCTGTGGGTAACTTGCTGAAAGAATGTGACCTTGACCTAATGGGAAAGCCCATCACCTTTTGTGGTACTGACCACATTTGTTCCTTGAAGACTCAAATCCAGAGACAGCAGAGAAATCTAATGGAACTCTTACCCTAACAGAAATCTTACAGCAATGGGATCATGAAATTATCTGGAAAATAGACCATTAGGAAACAACGGTTTTAAGCTAAGATCACTGATGTAGTTCTTATTTTACAAACACAGAGGTGTTATAATAGACGCACAACAACTTGCTTTTTAAAAGCTCTTCTCTTTCTAATAATGTATGAGAAACAAGAACTGGTGAAAATAATCAGCATTTTCCATTGAATTCTTTTGTGTTATATCACCTCTCCTGATTTTTTTAGTTGTCATTCTGTAACTGAACACTGTAGATTTGTAAGTTGTTTTGTTTTGTTTTGTTTTGAACCCAGACAAAAAGAGAGTGTTATTATCATTATATCCTGCTTTGCTTGTACTGAAGTGGAACACACACTGAAAAATGATCCCTACATGGTTTAATTAAGGGGAAAGTGAATTATGTAGTGTTTTACCATTCTCATTTCTTATTCATGTAGAACAGCAGGATAGTAGCATACTGTTGCAATAGCACAATATTTTCTGGTTGTTTCTGGGCTGTCTGCATTGCATCCATGTCAGCCATTAAAATCTATGCATGACGACGAGGTTTGCATGAGCAAATGCATGTAGCTAAAAACAAGCCATTATTTCCATATCATTCACTAAATTTCACTAAATGCAGACAGTAGCATAATGCTCAATTGATGTGACAATGCTGTGTGTGGAAAAGAATGGACAGTAGTTGGCAATCAGTATTTTCAGAGTGTGGAGTAAATCACTTTATGGTAGGCCTCTAATCAACTGTGGTTAAGGCAGGTGAATGCAAGTGGAAAATAGGAAGCAGGCAGAGAATCTTTTCTTGGTAGAAACTACTTCAGGGCTGTTCTTTTCTTTCCATGAGGGGTGGGAACTAATGGTAAGTTGGGTTTTCGACTTATTTTTAAAAATTAATAGATGAGTCTTAAAACTATGTCCATATTAAATGAAATTTTGGACGTGTTGCTATAAAACCACAGGCTGCTCATTTTTGCCCACAACCCCACAGGAGGTGAAATATTAAATGTAAAATGTGGGGGAAAACATCCTTACCAGATAAGAAGACTTCTCATAATAATGCCAAACATTGATGTGAAATACTAATAATCTGTTTGAATCTATTGTGTTAGCTTTTATTTTCCTCTAAGTATCCTCAATCAAGAAAGAAAGAAAGAAAGAAAGAAAAAGAAACCCTAAAAACAAAAACAAAACAAAACAAAAAAAACCCCAAAACTCAATTTGCAAAGCCAGTGGTCAGGCCAGAGTGAGATTATACGTATCCGCCAGAGTTTATATGTATAAGTGCTTCTAAGTACATTGAGTAAATATTCATGAGTATTTATGTGCAAGCCCTGGGCAAGATTGTGTCACACAAAAAAGCGGATTACGTAATCTCTGCCCTTCCGGTGCTCACGGTCAACACGTACATGGAATCGTTAGAGCATGCGTACAGTGCGGAGGTAGTCTATGGACCAAACCTATTTTGGAGTGCGAGAAAAGGAGGAATTTCAGCTGCCTCAGGTACCTGGGAAAGAGTTTGGTGAAAGGGGGACATTTGTATCAGAATGGATAAATTCTAGAAAGCCGGAAATAGCCAGTTAGGGCTTTGCCAAAGAAAGGACTCATAGATGACATTTAAGTGAAGCAAGCTCCCTCCCCACCGTGTTTTTTTTCTCCACAGGAGAATGCTATAAAAATAAGAGGAGGTGCCTGAACCTACCCACTGCAAAGCGTACGAAGAGCCTTATTTCCCTCGTTTTATTACCAAATGACCATCTTTTCTTTCAGGCAACAGTTGCAGCTTTTGCAGCTAGTGAAGGCCACTCCCACCCTCGGGTAGTCGAACTGCCAAAGACTGATGAAGGCCTTGGTTTTAACGTGATGGGAGGAAAGGAGCAAAATTCCCCCATTTATATCTCTCGCATCATTCCTGGAGGGGTGGCCGAAAGACACGGAGGCCTCAAAAGGGGAGACCAGCTGCTATCAGTGAACGGAGTGGTATGTTCCTAAAATAACCAGAGGTTTTCTCCCCTGAGCACATTTCTCCCCGCTGCTGTTACTGAAGTCAGTGTTGAAAACCTAGAATAAAGCAGAATTTTGCGTCCAAACGGCTTCCTCAGCGTTGATGGACGGTAAACCCACAAAAGCAGTCATTTTGTATAGTTTTCAGGTTTCGTTTCGTTGGTTTGGGTATGATTAGTGTGAACTAGTTAGAAAACCATTCCAAGGAGTCATCCCAAGTAGTAGAAATTCCCCCGATACGACACTCTAATGGATTTAATGTTTAGAAGAACATAATAATCCCAAGGTACTTTTTATTCAAATTACTATGGAAAAATATATGCATTTAAGAAATAAAGGTAAAACTCCTCACCCTGTATTTTTTATTTTAATTAAAAAGGAAGGATAATTTTAATGGAAAAAGATAACGCACAGCTAATTCCTTAATGTACAGCTCTAATAAAAATATATTAGCCTCTTCCCCAAAAAAGCTTGATTATGTTATATATTCATCCTGTATATTTTCATTTTGGCATGACGTTAAGGCAGATTAAAATATATAACATTTTAAAGTAGAAGTATGAACATATTTTCTTTTCATACTCTTGCATTCTTTGGATGCCATTACCTCCACATGTAATAAGGACTTGCTTAAGAAATAGCTTTATCTGAATCATTTTCTCCTCCTAACTTCTACTTACTTCAAAAATAATTGGAAAGCATAAATTTCAGAAGTTTAAATAGGAACAGATCAGTGTTCACCTGTGTATTATTCTCCTAACAGCTTTTCCTCAGAACTTAAGATCTTAATTAATCAACTAGATCTGGGTTACTTGTGGCCATGTTGATCTCTGCTTAGAACACAACATCTAAAATAAAACACACCTGGAATGTGATATTGGTAATGAGAGGGTAAATTCTTGTGTATTTATATCTTGTATTTTGTTTGTTTCTTTCTTTTTTTATTTTTTTGGCCTAACTAGTAGTTTTACAGAACCACAGACTACTCATTCAACTCTGCTGACCTCCGATGGCCATCAAAATCATCAATCCATGAAAATTCTATGTCCCTTCGGCATTCCAGTTCTAAAATTACCATTTCATTTACTTTTTTCTATGTAATAATGCTTTGAGATGAGCTTTCTTGTTGACCTTTAGGTAACTATGACTTTTTCAAAGCATAGTTCTACTGATCATTTCAGAGTCCAACTTTCTAGTAGACCTAGGTCATTCAAGTATGTCACAAAGTAATCTGTACCTCAGTGTATGAATTTACTATAGTTTATCTGAAAATATAGGGAAGATCAAAAGAAAATATAGATTTTTTAAAAAATGAAAAGTACAGAAAAGGACCAAAAATACATTAATAGAATTGTGATTATATATAGCAACGATAAATGTCAATGAAATCGATTTAATGGGTGGTTGGTTGACATTTAACTATCTGTCAAGGGAGCTAAAGAGCCTTTGTTTAACCCATGTATTTGCAAGGAAACAGCTGTAGGCATTTCATAATCTCTCATCTATTCCTTGCAATGACCATGTGACTTTTTTATCTGGGAGGCTACAGGGGGTATTAGAGAGTGGAATCAGATGCATCAGTCTCTATCACTCAAAATTCATATGATTATAAGCTAACATCCCCTACACTTGAATTCTCTAGCCACAATAAGGGGAGTTGTGAGGAAAGGCCCTGATGAAGATTAAAATGAGGCAGACTGTCTTTTAAGAACTGTCCTGTGATAATTTGGTGAAACACTCTTTGATAAGTAAGGGTGTTTACTGAAAAAGGTTGAAGAGGGTTAGCGGTAGTCCCATGATAGTTAATGCTAGCCTTGCTAAAAGTATGTCTTAAGGCAAGTTCTACTACACAGGCAGGCGTATTTTATTTTATTTTTTTGAAGATCTTATTTATTTATTTGAAAGAGAGAGAGATAACGAGCAGGAGGGAGGAACAGAGGGAGAGAGAGAACAGACTCCCTACTGAGCAGGGAGACTGACTCAGGACTGATCTCAGGACCCTGAGATCAGGACCGGTGCGGAAGGCAGTCACTTAACTGACTGAGCTACCCAGGCGCCCCTACATGTAGGCCTATTTCAGCAGACATGTTAGCAAAAAGGCGCTCATTCAGTCTCTTTCAGAAGTTGATCAAATTCTAGTTCTCTGTCCATTCAGATGTTTCAGTCATTACCTGGGAGAAAAGGTTCACTTGAAGCAGATGAAACAACATTCCAGGGCTAGGATTTTGCTACCCTTACATTCAGTCTCAGACAATGAGAAATCCTATTAAACGGGCAGTTGGAAATCAGAAGCTTTAGTGATCAGACTTAGGCCACTGATCCTATGGTGTGGGCTATGAGCCTCCTCAAGATTTTTGCACCCTGTTTGTGCAAAGATGGTGAGTGTCTCCAAAAGTCT